AGTGGAGCGCGCTCACTTAACCACCAAGCCACGGGGCCGGCCCTTCCCTTTTGACACCCGGGCTGCTTGATAATTTGGGGGTAACTGTGATTCTGTTTCATTGTTTCTTTTCTAAATGAATTTCTCAACTTGCTGCTGGGATTAAAGCAGGGAGTCAATTCTGACTATTCCCCAGACCCATCATGCCTCTTCATGCCTCCAAGCCTTGGTTGTGCAGTTGCCTCTCCTGGGAATGCCTCTCTCTGATCTCTTATGCTCACTGAAATCCTACGTGGCCTCCTAGCCCAGGTGCATAACGTGAGTGCAATGAAGGAACCAGCCATTGCACCTTCAGGGCAAAACAAATGGCTCCTTTTACTGTCATCCCACAGCTCTTTAAAAAATTAATATTACTAGCTGGCATACATTAAAGACCGACACAGACCAGACGTTTCACACGTGTTGTAGTTCAGGCTCCCAGTAATACTTCAACGAAGGAAGATGATATGCTGTTTTTGTGTTTTTTTTTTTTATTATTGTGGTAAAACATATATAATCTTCTTAACCATTTTTTAGTGTACAATTCAGTTGCATCAAGTGCATTCACATTATGGTGCAACCATCACCACTATCCATCTCTAGAATTTTTTCATCAACCCAAATTGAAAATCTGCACCCATGAAACAGGAACTCCCCATGCCTCCCTTCCCCAGGCCCTGGTAACCACGGGCATGTTATTTCAGAAATGAGGAAACTGAGGCTGAGGGAGGTGAGGTGAGGTTTCAGAGCTGGGACACGGCCTGGCCAGGATTTGAGGCCAGGTATCCTCACTCGACTCTGAAGCCACTGTTCTTTCTCTGCAACACTGCCTACTCCACCTCCACTACAGACAGGGCCACAAAGGTGTCACATCTCCGCCTCCTTGGCTCTTCATCTAGATTCTCCATTCTAGAATAATGCCTGGCACACTGAAGGAGCTCGCTGTAGTTATAGAACAAATTACAGAATGAGTCTACTAAAGAGACACCTCAACCTGACCCCAGTGGTTGGGAGTGGAACTCAAACTGTACCCTTTGCTTTCTAAAAAACATTTATGGAATGCCAACTGTGTGCCTGGCATGGCGCCAGCTCCTGCTGGCCCCACTCTGCAGGAGAGGCCCGAGGGCTGGCTCTGCCTGACGGCCCTGAGGAGAAAGATTTGTGTTTACATTACCCAGTCAATTCTGTATTTATTTTGGATATTAAGCAGTGACATAAAAGCTGCTGACATTAACCTTCAGGGGCAGAAATTGGCTTTAATGGACCCCATAAAAGTGATTATTGATGGCAGCTGCATGCAGCATCACCGTGACCTCAGCAAAAGCCTCCGCCGCTATCAATACTGTTGACAATTACTATTGACTAATGCAAGGCTGGCCGTGGAGGCAGAGTCGATGTTCCTGTGGCTGCAAGTTGCTGGAGGTGATGCTTTGTGTTTCCCATCTGGTAAGGATCTCTGAGAACTTCATCGCACATTTCTGGTGGCCTCGAGTAAGAGTTTAATACCCTCACTGACTGAAATGGAAGCAGGCAAAGGGCTCAGACTGTAGGATCAGAGAGACCTGAGTTCAGATCCGAGCTTTGCCGACCTGCTGACTTACCAGCTGTGTTATCTCTGGCACATCAGTTAACTTTTTTGGAGCCTCCGTTTTCCCATCTGGGAAATGGGAATGCCATGGCGTTGTCGTGAGGATTAAAGGCAATCACACATGTGCGGTGGCTTGACACACGGTTGGCCCTCAGTATGGTTTCTCTCCACTCCTGAAAAGTGGCTACACCATGATGTGCAGGCTGACACGTCCAGTGGAATTGAGCCTTGTTCTGATGGTAAGATCTAAGTTCTCATCAAAGAAGAAGGAAAGAGCTGGGGTCAGGGGGATGAAAGCAAGAGGAAGAGAGGAGTGCAGGGGAGAAAGACGGGAGAGTGGGACAGTCAGGAGGAAGAGAGAGAGAGAGCTGGAAAAGAATCAAGACTCCTGTGTAGGGCCTAGCTCCAGCTCAACTGGACACACAGCCCCGTGCACCCTTTGCCTCTCTGAACCTCAATCCTCAGCTGTAAGTTGAGGAGATGATGTGAACAAGAACAAGAGTGCTGTCAACCTCAACAGTGGATAAAAGGCAGCCATCCCTATGTCTCATCCATTGTCGTAAGAGTCACTGTCTTTATTTAGATCCGGATATCACAAAGCCTTTAATGTAACTTCCCAACTGAGAACAAGTGGACAAGTGCGTGGACACCAATGGGGTGTCTGGGTTTGGGGAGACCAGGGCTGGAAGGGATGCAGAGGCCAGGGGCTCCTTGTAAGATTCACCTGCCCATCTCTTTTGCCTGCTCGTCTTCCCTAGTGAGGCCAGCATGGGAATGGATGACCAGAAGGAGAGGGTGGCATGGCCCGGGGCAGCAGGCAGCCATCTCCCCGTCCCTGTTATCAAAGGCTGAAGCTTTTCAGGCTTGTCGACTATGTCATTATCACCCAACAGAGGCTTAATTCAGCAGTAATTCGGCTCTCAGGGAATGTACAATAATGTGGGCGGCATGCAACTCACTCTGTCATGGCTTTATGGAAAAATGATCATTTGCCACCATGGGAAGAAGCCTTCAAAAGAACAAAGAATTCAAGTATTTTAATGTAGAGGAAATTCACTATCTCTAGGGCTACAAGAGTAAAGATTTTATGGTAATACAGGCCTGAGTTCAAATCCCATCTAGCTAGCTGTGTAACCTATGCAGGTTTCTTAACCTCTCTGGGCTGCGGTTTCCTTATTTTGTGCAGTGGGGATAATAAAACGTACCTCAAAGGGTTGGAGGGGGAGTAAATGAGATCCTATAACTACAGCCCTTAGCACTGTGCTTGGGGTCTGATAATCAGCAGCAGCTATTAACTATTAATGTTGTTATCATTATCATCTTCCTCTTGTATACCTTCATCTTTATGTAAACACTTAGAATCACAGACTCCTAGATCTAGAAGGGACTGAGGTCATCCAGCTCACTTATTCCCGAAAAGTGTTCATTAGAACAATGGTCTGATCAAAGGCTGAGAATAAATGGTTCTGTGGTCAGATCAATTGGTGAATGCTAAGATATCTCCTTGTAATTTATCCATTAGCATGCACTTAACACAATCAAGGCTCTGAGAAGGCCTGCAGTAAAGAATCTGGCTTAAACTTGTTTAACCCAGTGTTTCCTTCATTATTTGACTACAGTGCACAACCTCCCCACCCCCAATCTAAGAACTATTAACATTCTCAGAGCACAGAAAATGCTGATTTCTTTTAAACTACTTATTTTATAGATGAGGAAACTGAGGTCCAGAGAAAGGATCTAACGTATCCAATGCCACACCCTGGGTCAGTGATGGAACTCAGGCTCCCTGCCTCCTAATCAGACACCGTTCTCGTTCTCTCTGTACAGGCCTCACACCACAGATGGGTGCTCTGGTTTAGTGCATGGTGGGGGCCGGGAGAGGAGGGGCTGCTGGCTCAGCTTTGACTTAGGTAGGAAGGTGGATGAGGGAGTGTGGATGTCTCCCACTACACAGAGGGGGATCTCCCTCAGGTGCCCATGTCATTGGCCCCCTCACAGGGCTGGTTGGGGGTCAGGGGAGGGTGACCCTGCCAAGCCAGTACCCAGGATCTGCTGCTCCCCCGCCCCTCAGACAGGTACACAGGGTCCCCAGGAAAACCTCCGAGATCTCTGGGCGGGGTGGCGGAATGGACATTTGGAACTCTGCTGCATTTGACACTTGAAGGAGATAAATTTCCCCACATGATCCTGACCTTACCTGGTCTCTTGCCTGATCCCAAATCTGGGATTAGGGCCTGCATAACCAAGCTGGAGCATCCTCTTCTGAGACTGACCTGCCTAAGCCTTCACCTCTGACCTGGTCCCCACCCTGGTCCCCCGGAATCCTGGGCAGAAATCACTAGGATCCTGCATTTGGAGCTGGAAACCAGTAGGGGCACCAGCACCTGGCTTGGCTCTTCCAGTTCTCCTTCAGTCTGCCCTCTCCACACCTCCCTCTAGTGTGGAAGCGCTGGCAGACCCTCTCAGTGGACTTTTGAGAAACAAAAGCCCTCCTCCAGGCACAGGGGCTGTTCTTGGCCTCTGCCACTCTCCCTAAGTCTTCGCTGCCAGACTCCAGCAGGAGCCTCCTGCTGACCTGGGTTCCCAAAGCTGCCCAGAGACTGGAGGGGCACAAATCACCAGAGAAAGGGAGATTCCCCCTAGCTCACCACAGAGCTGCATCTAACTCAGAGATCTGCCAACAAGGTCCCGAGAGTCAGGAGGAAAATGCTGAAACCAGGCTCCCTTCCCTCCACCATAAAAAGGAGGCGTGTGAACCAGCTGTCATCATTCTCCCACAGCATCTCTCCGGCCTTGGAAGAAGGAGCTGCAGAGATGAGAGTGGAATAGAATCCAGAGCCAGCACTTTCCCAAATCTGCAGATGAGATCATGGGAAAACTGGAGCAAAACCTAAAGTTTTAAGTTACCCCGACGTGACAGTTTTTGTTTAGAAGCTATCCTCTGATCAGCCTAAGATACTGGGGTGGGGCAGCACTTGTGGCGACTGCCCAGGACTGCTGAGTGCCTGGAGGCTGGAGGCTGCACGAGCAGGACTCACTCAGGCTGGACCAGCACAGCTGATGTGACGGAGGACAAGTGGCGGGGGACCGGTTACCACTGCTCCCTGATCCCTCTGCACCCCTGCACATAGGCACCTTGTAAGCAATAACCTCGCCCCCTAGGTGTCCCCCTAATCTGGAAGGAAAGAGCAGCGACCCAATCTCTGGCATGTCACCAATGGGTAGGTATTTCATGTCATTGTGCAAGAGGTTCTGACTTTTGACCACTGAGAGCAAAGCAATTTTTCACCAACTTCACCAGAGCCCCAAGCGGTGGAGCAGAAAATCAATACTGTAATTAAAACCCCCTGCCCGGCAACCCAGGTGCCTGGCACAGGCCAAGCGGGCCACTCACCGGTCTCAGTGTTCTCGTGCTCGGTGTCGGTGAGCGTGAGGTTGGAGTTGGCCCGGCTGGACAGGCAGGAGCTGCGCCCCGACCGTGTGCTCCGGCCCCAGAGCCGCACGGGGTGCTCAGGGGACAGCACGGTGTCTGCCTCCACTTCGGCATCAGAGCTGGCCCCCAGTGAGTAGCCGCAGTGGGGGAGGCCAATGTCTGTCCGGTACAGGGTCCCGTGAGGCGGCGTCACCTCCCCTAGCCCCAGCTCACGCAGGGTGAAGTTAGCTCCTGGGAGGAAATGCAAGTGAACTTGGTTAGGGTGCTGAGGAGGGGTCTCCCCACCATAAGCCTGGCCCCTTTCCCCAGGATTCACTGTTGGCCTTTAGCTTGCAGTGGTGTTTCATGCCCATGCCTTTCCTCTGCCTGGCTGGCTCCTTGCGCCCCTTCCCCATCAGCCCAAATCCTCTACATCCTTTAAGGAAGGCCAAACTCAAATGGCACCTCCTCTGTGAAGTCTCCCCTAACCCTACACGCCGTGCAGAAGTCATTGCTTCTTCCTCCCAGCTCCCTCTGAGAGTCCTTGGCCCCAGTGGTGCTGCAGAGTAGAACTGTCTAACAGCTTGACTCCTCTGCTGGAGACGACCTCAACAAGGGCAGGGACCATGCCTTGTTCATTCCTAAGTCCCTGTGCCTAGAACAAAATCTGGTACTCAGCAAGGGCTCAATAAATGTCTTCTAAATTGAATGGAGGGCTTCAGGTCTCCTCTTGCAGTCCAGGGAGGGCTTGCCAGCAAGGAGCACTCCTGAGCAGGGCAGAAGCCTAGCTGATGAGATGCAAATGGCTCCCCTAGGACTGGAAGCTCCCTTCTGGCCAGGTTGGAAAAGCCTGGAGCATAAAAGTGAAGAAGATGGTGACTGGCAGAGAAAAGTGGGTCTTGGCACAAAGAAATAGGCTCTGCCTTCTGCCGGCTCATGCCAGGCAGGGCCGTGACAGGAATCAGCAGACTTTGGAGTAACCCTGGGAGCCAAGCACACAGCCAAAACTGGGCTGCTGAGAGGTCTCTTGAGGGCTCAGGAAGGCCTGGCAATGCCCAGGACTGAGGCCCGGGAAGACTCCCGTGAGGGCAGTTCACTCAGGGATTAGTATTTGAGTGACAAAGGCAATACTAACTTGCATGGAAAACAGCCATGTTACTCCTGAATGTTAACTCAATGTCTGTTCAGGGACAGCTGCTCTTATCTTTCTAATAGTCCCCTGAGTGTTTTGGAGGATGAGGAAGAGGGGGTGGACAAAGGCACTAAGGGTCATATCCCAATTAAACCAGTGATCTGGGACTTATAATCAGGTAGCACCACAATTTAAACCAACTCAAGCTGGCCCTGGGCCTTGACTGACATACAGCACGAGTAGGGCATGCTGCCTGGCTTTACAGAGCTCACAGGCAAGTCGGGGAGACACAACCAAAAATGTGGTAAGGGTTAAAATCCAAAGTGCAGAGCTCCGTGGAGAGTGTTCCGGGAGCATAGAGCAGAGGGTGGGATGTTTGGTGGGAGCTCAGAGGAGAGGTTTGCGGATGAGAGTGAATGTGGAGAACGGCGTATCCACAAAGGTGGATGCCTGAGCTTTGAAGTGTTCCTGCAACAAGGGCTAGGACGGCATAGGACAAGCCTGCAAAGGAAAGCAAGAAGGAACTGCCAGAGAGGCGGACGGGAAGCCAGCAGAGATGGCTTCTGATTATAATTGTTGCATCACTTTTACCAAATAACCCCTGTGCCCCTGAACGTGCTAGTCAGCTCTGTGTTCAGCATCTAGCACACCCGGCACAGGGGAGGTGCTTGGTAAAAGTTAACTAAACAGACACATTCTGGTGGTACTTTGGAGGATGGATGAAAGGAGAGGGAAGGTGGGAGGAGAGACCCATCGGCCTCTGCTGAAACGCAAGCTGCTGAGGCCGGGCTGTGGCAGCGGGAGGAGGGGTGCCCAAGCCTGATACGCAGGTAGTACAGCCTTCATTTGAGGTTCAAGTCCTGAAATGGTTCCCTACTGGTTGGTAAATAACTGATGTCTGAGCCTCCTCACACCCAGCATCCCCAGCCCCTGCTCTGCCTATTCCAGCCCCCTCCCTACAAACTAGAGGAGCCCCCTAGTTAAATATGGTTAATGTTAGCAGGCCTGGCACAGTGCATGCGCCTCTGGGTTCTGCTCAGTGGCCAGGCAGACATTCTGATTGGCCAGGGTCTGGGCCAGGCAGACATTCTGATTGGCCAGGGTCTGGGCCAGGCAGACATTCTGATTGGCCAGGGTCTGGGCCAGGCAGACATTCTGATTGGCCAGTGTCTGGGCCAGGCAGACATTCTGATTGGC